GATCGATCAAAGCGGTTGCCTTATAGTCTTGCATAGTAAATGTCAATACCTGATATATAAACTGTCGAAATATATCCTAAAATCATCTATTGTTATTGATACGGATATATAGGATTATTTTGTTTTATTTATTATTAACTTCATTTGTTATTTATTATTTATTTATATTATTTATTTTTTTATATTTTCTAGTTATGTTTTATTAATAAATTACTTAGTTTTCGTTTTCCAATTTTTTCTATAACTTATAACTATTTCACTTATTTCACTTTTCTTTAACTTTTAACTATTTCACTTATTTATTGCAACGTGATAATTTACGATCTTGTTCAATTTATTTACAAAAAAATATGAAGTAAACATACAATATGCGCTGTAAAAAAAATATATTATAATATTTAAATTATTTTACAGTGATGTCGTTTCATTGCAATTGTCGCCAATGTTTTGTTATCGAATATTTCGATGATGTACGTTTAGAATTTTTTTTCTGACATGGAATTTGCGTCCCTGTTTGTTCTGTTAACAATAACGTGCATTGGCGCATTTATTATAGAATTGCAATTGCAATTCAGAATTACGTGAAATTAGAGAACTATATTAAAGTACAACAAGTAGATTTGCAACCTTGCATTTTCAGTTTTAACAATCCGATATGAATAAATTTGCTAATATTTATTTTTAAAAATAGGTTTTTTAAATTTAAGATATTTTTATTAGAAATTTTAAATAAACGGAATATTAATTTATCACAAGTTACAATTATACAGTCACTTCTTAAATGTTCAATGTTCACAATGATAATCAATGCAGATGATCTGCATTAAAACTTATTTTATTGAAAAGAATAGCAGGAAAAATCCATGAAGAAGCCATGAATTAAATAAATAAAATTATTTCCCATGTAGGATGTATGAATACGGAATAATAACATCATAGAACATCTTTACAGCTTTATTTGTACTCATAACCCATATAGCCGCGAAAAGTTTCAGAATTGTTTTTTTACGTCTCATTACGTGCAACAATTCTGAAACGATTTTCCAATATGTCATATGAAATGTTTTAATAGAAATGTTTCTGAAATTTGTCATGTACAATAAATTGAAAAACATATATAAACAGAACAAAAAACATCATGATATTAAAATAGTTTCGAAATGTTTATTAAAAGTAATTTCTTTGTTCAATCACGATTCAGTTTAATGTCATTTTGATGTTATTGTGACTTGTTCTATTTTACTTGCGAAAAACTTTTTTATATATGATTGGCTTGTTTTGCTTTAATTGCGAACTTTTGTATATGAATAATTCCAGACAGCCAAATGCATTGTATTTGCTATCATGTTGCCGAAAATGTTGCAGCAATTAATTTCGACAAACTCGGACAAAATGAGACAGCAGTTTGTCACGTTAAACTCAATGAAATTTGAATTCTTGTGATGACAAATTGGTAGCAACAAATCAACAAGAATATTCTTCATAATAACTCGTATATTCTTATTGTCAGCATTCTCTTAGCAACAAGCTGAAAAAATTTTATAGTTTGAGGACATTTGCAGCAACGGATAGAAATCATTATATTGGGTTGTCCGGAAAGTTCGTGCCGATGTTGAAGGAAAATTGAAACGCAGAAAATTTAAATTTTAGTATACATTTATTAAATTATATAGGTTAGTCGGCACGAACTTTCCGACAACCCAATATGTTCTGTTACTGTCATGTTTTCATATGCTCAAGCTGAAACGATTCATTATTTGTTGTTAACATGTTACTGTCTTGTTGCCGACAACAAAATGTGTAAACTATCATTTCTTACAGTTTGGTTTAGAAATTTCGACAACTGATTACATATATAAGCAGTCATGTTGTAAGCATTCGTAATGTATCCTATTTTGATGTCAGCAAATATACAGCAAATATATAACAACATATGTAATGCATCATAATTATGCTATATCATACTTGGCTATTTGGAATGATATTGTGTGGAAATTGCAGTGCATTTTTGCAACGATTTTTTTAATAATGATTTTATATAAGTGCTTTTTACATACGATTAATTAATCAAAATAGTTGGTGGTATAATTATTATTTTTGAGAAATACTTTAAATTTTATTTCAATAAGTTTTGTAATCTGTAAATAGATCACAAACCTCTAATAAATTTTAAGTACTTCAGAAATGTTATTTAAATATATGTTTAATTGGTACTTAAACAATATTCAAATTTATTATATCAACATAATAAATTAAAATATTATTGAGGTATCAATCAACTATATATTTAAATATCATTTTTATAGTATCATTTTTATAGTATATTCAAAATGGCTCATTCAAAATCTCATTAATATTTCAAAAAGATTACAGATTTGTTTTCTTATGACATGAATCTTTCAACAAAATTTCACGTGTAAGAATTGCAGACATTTTGCTATTTGAGAACTGTCTCAGAAATGTTGCAGACATATTTCATAATTTTTTTCTGGTGTTTCATTTTTCGATTAAAATATTTTTGAGATATTTTTGAAAACTTTCGGTAGTATATAGGAAGAGTTATAAGTGAAAAATAAATTCATAACAAATAAATTCATGATGATATTATTATTATATTATAATTTCTGTCTGAATCTTAGGACTGTATCCAATTGTATCATGGATTAGGATGTGTATCTCCTATCTTACATAATTATGAAAATTAATTAATCTAATATCTAGGAAGAGAGCAAATCTACTTGACGATTGATTACAATCGATATAGACTGATAAGAACTCAAAAGAGTCGAAATCTAATCAACAAAGGAAAAGGATTAGTAGAGCACTCTGTAATCAGAATCGCGACTTGAGACGATTTGAGCTGAGTATATGGCAATTGCCCACAGTTCAATTGCGCACAGCCAATCACAACACTTAAAAAAAAAACTAATTCTAAACTCTACGCAGAAGTCGTTGTAATTGGCAGTGAGCAATTGTTACAGTAGGCAATTGCACCGCTCCCATTTGAACCGACTTTGGTATGTAGAATAGTAGGTTAACAAAATCGATAAGAGAAAAAGGTATTATCTCTGTCTAACCTTAACGCGGCATTAAAAATATTTTCGAAGTCTGTCCCACATATGATGCACATCACAATTGTTGCACTTTATCTTATAAACTACATTGTTTTTGATTACATGGGGGCGAGAGTCTTTTCGGACTTTCATTTTTGTAATTTTATTTTACGTTATAAAATGAAACCTTGACATCGTTCTTGTTAAATTGTTTAAATTTCTTTATTAAAGTTGGAATGTACGACACAATGAACCATGATGAAATAAATTTGAATTTCTGTTATTTTAGGATCTAATCGCTGTTTTTCTTAGGAGATTATTATTGATTCTGTTATTGATTGTCAAAGATAAATTTTTAGCGGATAGTCATTCTTTGTTAGTATATTAATTATGAGTATTATGAGTAAATTTTTTGCGTGATATTCACAATTTGATAGTAAGAGTGCTCTGTCTTAAACTGATGATTGTGTCTCTTTTTTGAGTGATCGGATGGTTAGAGAAGTTCAAGAATCTATACCTAAAAAACTAGGTTTGTGATACCAATCAAAATTAATTTGTTTATCTTTAATCATGATATTGACGTCTAAAAGTTTAAAGATTCATTTCCAATTTCGAGGATAAATAGAAGTTGAAGATAGAATAAGGTTAAAACATTTAATAGTCAATTTTTGATGAGGGAATAGCAGCACATAAATCGTTGACACATCTATATAGTAAAATATATACTTGATCATTGAATAAGTCGAAGCTATTTTCTCTTCTCTTTGCATCAATAGAGCATCAGCAAAGATGGGCGACAATGGAGAGCCCATAGATATGCTAAAATTCTGTTTATAAAAAGTATTTATTATATTTAAAAATAAAAGAGGAGTGCGCTAGAGCATGTACAGTCAGTCACAGAAAAGTTACAATACTTTTTTTTATGGGTTTCGGAATACAGTTTGCTCACCAAGTGATTTGATGAGCAAACTGTATTCCGAATTGGTTCTTATTTATGGGTCTAACCATTTATATTCAACCGCTTTATGAAACAAGACTAAGTTCCGAAATCCATCGAAAAAAAAGTGTTGCAACTTTTATGTGACTGGCTGTACGTCGCCAATTCAAAATAAATATTTTCATTAATAAAACAGTGAAAAATTATTAGCAATCGATACTATTACCAATGTAAATGGATGTGTAAATGGATATGTGCTATCAGGATGTGCACTAATAGGACTTTCAAAATGAAATAATAAAAAAATTTTAGGGAGGGGGGAAGGGGGGTTTGAACTCTCAAAATTATCTCCCTGGATATGCCCATGTTACGTACGTATGATTACAAAAAAATCATATTGCGTCATATATATGATTAGTGAGGAGATTAATCCGTCATTCATAAAGCGCTTAATAAGTAATACTTATAACAAACAATAAAATTGTGATAAAATTGTTGATTATTAATTTCGTTTCAAATTTCTTGCCATTTTAATTTATCATATTAAAATTATATTATTAATTATATTCGATTTTTCATAAAATTGTTATATTGTCCATTTTATTACATTTTAAACTTATCTATATTTTATTAGCAAATTACTTCGTATGTTTTCACGTAATTCACGTTTTTGTTTTATTTATTTACAAAAATACGCAGTATACATACATAATATACGACATACAATATATTATAATCAATAATTTATTTACAATAATGTCGATCGATTGCAATCATCGCCAACATTTTGT